AAGGTTGATGAATCTATGAAAAACAAAAATTTGCCACTTAAAAGAAGATTCACCTATCGTTTGCCTGGATATGAGTCAAATATTATCTTTTCATGTATATGGAGTTTGGTAAAGCAGTCTAGTTTCAGTTTTGTCCTAGCAAATATGAAATTGTTTCTCTTTTTAAGAGATTATTAGGCTCTATTAAAACATCAAGTGACCGTCCACCCAATTAGTCACTGGCACCAAATGTCATTAACTTCTTTATTTTTCCTTAAACTGCTAGTCCGATTAGATGATGCTTCAAAAGTACCTAATAATTATTTACGGCATCCAAAAGGCTGCTAAATTTGGAAAGGACGGAACCGAAAAAAATAGAAAGAAGCACATCCCCTGTATCTATTAAAAGAATGATGGAACCATTGCGATGGTTGGTTGAGGGTTCAGATCCAGAACTTGGTTTGCAAGTCGAAGGTCACAGGTTCAATTCCCGAATCTATCCTCAATCTCTGGGAAACTTTGGTCAGTCTACAAAGATTAGTTTGGGCTTAGGTGTCCGGCCTTGAGCTCCCGGCTAGCATCGTGGTCAGACATGGATGATAAGCTCATGCAGTGAACAGTAGTGTGAGGATTCGGCGCACAATTACAACGAAATAAAGAGTAAAAGCAAGAAAATAAAGGTTTTTTTATCTTGATTCACCCTTAAATTAGGGCTACGTCCAACAAATAATTCCACTATAATTAGCACCTCACACCTCTCTGTTACATCTCTCAATTACAAGAGAAAGATAATATATATATGCAACAATAGTTATTCATGAGCGCAAGCTCAAACTACTAACAAAATACAAACATAAACTATAAAAGCCCTTCGATGGCTCAAGGGCGCTGGCCCCGCGACCCCCCGAACCCTCGTCGCTCACCGGGGAGTGGGACTTCCGTGCCTTCCTGTAGATGGGGAGTATGAATCACACCCCAACAAGTGGCACTCGAGCAAAATGTGCGGCTTTAAAATTTACTTTCTCTCACGACTAATTTATAACTTGTCGACATTGTTCACCCTCTTCTCCCATTAAAGGATTAAGAGGATGGTGCTGATATCTCATCACACCCCCCATGTCTTCTAGGCAGAGAAGTAATCAGTTCTTTATCTACAGCTGTATTGAGATTTCCATAGAAAGGAGAAATTGAGAGCTACGAATGTTTGGTGGTCACTCTCATTTTGGAAGGCCACACCATGTCTATCTACTCTTTAGGCTAAGGACAAGTTGCAGGAGGGTAATAGCGTAGTCAACGAAGGAAATAAAATGAGTTGTTTCTGGCTTAGCATTTATAGACTCTGGGTCCTCAATAAATACAGCCTAAGGGCAAAAGACACTAGTTCTTTGGTGGTTAGTTGAGTTGGTAATGTTTCCCCCCACATAATGCATTTGAGAGTCAAAATAATGCCCTTTAGCATTTATAGCGTGGGTGTTGTTAACGGACTTGTTAAACATGCTTGATGAGAAAAGATTCGGTATTAAATGTATGACCGTGCATATCACGAGTACAATCGATCCAATCAAAGATGCGGTATTTATTCATGCAGTTGCCTAACAAGTACCCCAAAATAGGTTTCAATAAGATCCTCATCATAAATAAGAATTTTTATTGTCAAGACATAAGATTTACCGAAAATACAATATATATATTTATATTTATATTTATATGAGACTTTTGCCCGAGAAATGTATTTAACAAGAGAACCTTTTATTTCCAATGACTTTTGCAATAAAAATAAACGTTTAAGATTATAACTTTTGAAATCTCAATCAAAATATAAGTATCTTTTTTTTATATGTAGTTAAATCGACAAGGCCTACTAGTTATGTGGTGAAAAATTATGTTGGAATATCTAAACCTATGATGATTCATAATGTATACACTGTGAAATCACCTTAGCTATTCATATAGTACCTACTATATTTCTAACAAGTTGAATATATATGCAAGAACAGAACATTAGTTTTTGTTGCTTCTTTTTTTTTTGGTCAAGAGTTTTTGTAGTTAAAGAACGTTTTAGCAATCTTTTCAGGGAAATCCCATCTGAAGTATGGGTAAGAGGACCAATCAAATCTAGTATATTATACTAAAAGTGACTTTGCATATTAAATGCATTATAATTTAACAAAGGAGTCTTTTCTTTTTCAAATAAAATATAAGGAGTTTTTGCCGAGAAAAAGTGAAAGTGCAAAGGAAAATATCTTGATAATGAAAAGTAGAATTAAAATTTTGAAACTGAGAAAATATATTTAAAAAATTAAAATATTTTTCAAATATTTCATCATAGTTATAGGCATTGCATTTATTAGGAATATCAGTGGTAATAAGCAGTAAAATTAACTCTATAAAAATGAAAAACTAATTATGGCTATAATTTCACGAAAAATTGTTGCCACTATGCATGGCGTGTGATTTGGATATATATATCTAGAAAAAAAATTCCTTTGATCTAATTTTAAAGTTATAAGGAAATTTGACTTTGTCGCTTGTAAGATAATGCGTGATAAATAATAAATTTATTTCGTTTCCATCCATATATAGCGACATATAATAGTATAATTGATGTTTCGTAAAGGATAATTATACTTAAAAGAAATGACCAAACAATCTAGTCGAATTGAACAGGAACATCCATGATCAATTGAGTTTAATGGAATAGAAACAGTCCGTGATCAATTCAATTTTCATAAAATATAATGTAAGAGATGTTTGGCCAGTTTAAGCTACTAGCTTTTTATCCAAATGACATACATTGTTTTCAAGCGATATTTTTTTTTCGCTTGTACAATTTCATGATTATTGTCACCGGTGTGACTCTAAAAAATATTTTATTTTCATGTACAGGTTAAATGTGCAATAATAGAGAAGCAGTTTAAATAAGCATAAGTTTTCAAAAAATTCTGAATGCGCATGGGCAAGTATACTAGTTTAACATATATAAATCACTTGATTTGACAATAAAATATTTATTGTAGACTCAGTTAATATTTTTTTGCTTTTACGGTATGCGTACCATTAATTTTCTTTTTTTTGGGGGGGAGCCTTGGTATGCCAATCAGACTGGGGACGTTCTTATCATGAATAGTGTAAACAGATAATTCGTGAGAATGTCGGATGACTCTTTTGACGGATAAAAGGTCGATGCATTCGTCATTTTCATCGCATGCCAAAAAAAAAAAAGAGTAAGTCTTTTCACATTATTATTTAAAGTTAAATATCACGAAAAATCCCAAACTAATACACATATAATAATTTTACCCAAAATTAATTTTTTAACCATGAAAAATCTCAAACTGGTACACATATGATAAATTTACCCCAAACTAATTTTTTGACCACAAAAAATCCCGAACTGGTACATTTGTTACAAATTTACCATCCATTAGTTTCCATTAAATTGAATTAATACCACAAAAAAATCATAAATTGGTACGTCTGTGACAAATGAAGGGTAAAATATAAAATTGGTATATCCGTCAATTGCCGCGTATCATTTAATAAAGTAATTTGATAGTAAAATTTAACGGAAATAAACTGAGGGTAAATTAGTCACAGGTGTACCAATTTAGGATTTTTGATTGTCAAAAAATTAGTTTGAGGTAAAATTATCACAGACGTATCAGTTTAAAGTTTTTCACTGTATTAACCTTATTATTTGTTAGACATAAAATAAAGAAGTACTAAATAATCCTGAAGACGGCCCCCGACTCTTTTATCCTCAGATTTGAAAATCTTGACATGTAAGAAAATTGTCAGTGTACTTCTCTATCATCATGGACCATTCCAAATGCAAAATTTACCTCTCAGGTTTCAGACAGCAATAAATGAATACCATCATTTTTGTAATTAAGGCTCCGTATTTTTTAGTAATTAAGGCTTCATTTATTTTATGAAAAATAAATAATTAAAAAATACTTTTTTAAAAATAATCATGTATATTTCTTACCTCTCAACTTAAGTTTCAGATAGCAATAAATGAATACTATCATTTTTGTAATTAAGACTCCGTTTATTATGCGAAAAATAAATAATTTAAAAAATATTTTTCTAAATATAATCGCTTATATTTCTTACAAAAATGAATAACGAACAATAGTTTCATCAATCACAACAAAATTTAAATATAAATTATTGTTGATAATAAAAATATTTTTCATTAATTAATTATTTCATGCGATACAAGTAATTATTTTCAAGATAATGATTACCAAAATACTTATTTTTCGCGAAAACAAACGAAGCCTAAATAAATAAATATTATAATTTATAATGTATCGACTATTTTCATGACATGCACAACCAATGCTTCCAAAATTGAATATTTTCTCCGTGAAGTCACTCAATAACCGAACAATATGGTTTTGAATTAAATTTGGTTTCGCGGACCCGAACTAAAAAGGGAAAAATTTAGATTTGAAATCCCTTGGAAATTGGGACCCCATTGCAATAATTCTGCCACCAGAGAGAGAACATCCTCATTCATACGGTCACTCAAATTTTCTCGAGCACCTCCTCATTCAACATGACCACCAACATGCCAAAACACTTGCTCGAATGTCTCCGATCCCCTATTTCTCTTTACATACCTCAATTAAGATCAAACGGAATCCAATCTAATCTAATCTAATCAACTCAGATCATTAAATCTTTTTTGTCCCTTAAATTAACTGGCGAGAACGCTTTCCAACTATATGACCAGATCACACCGTGCTTAAAATTAAAATCAAATCCCCCAGATCATGGTACTACAGCACGTATAATTTAATCCAATGCAGGCGCAGCATGTTACTGCAAAAAAACGAACTTGATTCGGTGTTTGTCAAATCTGAGTTAATGGGCAATTTATAAAAGTCGATCTAAACGCGAGGGGGACCTGCCACACTACCTTAACCCTATCTTCATGTCCTTTACCCAAGATGCTATTCCTCTCTCTCTCTCTCTCTCTCTCTCTCTCTCTTCTCTCTCGCCGTGCTTCTTAAATGGGAGCTCGATGCGAAGCCATGACAACAGTGCAGTGTGCAACCATTACAGAGTACAGTCGCACCTGGCGGTGAGTGCATTAATCATGTCCATCGTCCCCGAGCATTTCTTTACTTCATTCCCTTCCTTCACGTAACTATATTTAATTCACAGAGAGAGAGAGAACAGAGAGAGAGAGAAGAGAGTTTGGTTTGGTGAGCTGTGTGGTTTCTGACCCCAGTATTCATTTCCATCTTTTTAAGGCCAAAAGAACCCCCTTCACATGGCTTCTTCTGATGCACCACCATAAGTGTCTCTGCTCGCTCGAGCGATGCGGCATGATTGTGAGGGAACTGGACGACCATCATCATCGTCGTCATCACCATCGTCATGAGGAAGAAGAAGACGAGTTCTTCATGTTGGGCAGCTCTCGCTCTGGGGCTCGCGCTCATCGATGGGCTCCTCGCGCCGCGCGCGCGGGGCCTCAGCATGGACGGGGTGCTCCTGCTCTCCTTCAAGTACTCCATCACCAGCGATCCGCTCGGGGCGCTCGCCGGCTGGAGCTACGGCGACGACACGCCGTGCTCGTGGCCCGGCGTCACGTGCGGCGCCCCCGGTAACGGCACCGTCGCCTTCCGCGTAGTCGGCCTCTCCCTCCGGGGCTCGCGACTCGCCGGCTCGATCCCTTCCGACATGGGCATGCTCAGGTACCTGCGCACCCTCGACCTTTCCAACAACTCCCTCAACGGCACCCTCCCCGACACCATCTTCGGTGCCACCGACCTCCGCGTCCTGGATCTCTCCGATAACCGGATCGAGGGCCCGATCCCCGCGGCCATCGGACTGCTCGGGAACCTCCAGCTCCTCAACCTCTCCTACAACGCCTTGACGGGAAGCCTGCCGGCCAACCTCACTGCGCTCCCGAACCTGACCGTCGTGTCGCTCAAGAACAATTACATCACCGGGTACCTCCCCGGCGGGTTCGACTACGTGGAGATCCTTGATCTGTCATCGAACCTGATCAACGGGTCGCTGCCGGAGGATTTCGGCGGCGAGGGCCTCCAGTACCTGAATGTCTCCCACAACCAGCTCTCCGGGGAGATCCCTAGGGGCTTCGCCGCCAGTATCCCGGGCAACGCCACCCTCGACTTCTCCTACAACGAGCTCGCCGGCGAGATTCCGGAGTCTGTAGTGTTGACGAACCAGGACGAGCGGTCGTTCGGCGGGAACCCGGACCTCTGTGGGATCCCAACAAGGAACCCGTGCCCGATCCCTTCTTCCCCATCGTCTTCGCCGCCGAACGTGTCGGCTCCGACCTCGCCTCCGGCGTTCGCAGCTTTCCCAAAGACGGTCACCCCCGAGACGACGAATGCGACAGCGAGCAAGTCCAAGAGACAAACGGGGCTTCGGCCGGTGACCATAATCGGCATTGTGGTCGGTGACATTGCGGGCATTGCCATAGTGGCTGCGATTTTCGTGTGCGTTTGCCGGATCAAGAAGAGGAAGAGGTGCCTCGACACGGCACCGGTCAAGAAGGAATCCAGTGCGGCAGGGGATGCATGGTCGTCAACCTCCTCGGAGTCGCGTGGGTTCACGCGATGGTCATGCTTGCGGAAGCGAGGCGACAACGACGGAGTGAGCTCGGAGACCACCGCCTCCGACACCGACGACAACGACGACGTGAAGAGCTACGACAACGCTCAGCGGCACGAGAAGCAGGAGCCCTACAAGCAAGGGATGCTCGTGACCATCGATAACAGCGGCGGCGGGGACAAGGTGGCGGCGCTCGAGCTGGAGACGTTGCTGAAGGCGTCGGCGTACATACTAGGGGCGACTGGGTCGAGCATCATGTACAAGGCGGTGCTGGAGGACGGGACGACGCTGGCGGTCCGGCGGATAGGGGAGAGCGGCGTCGAGCGGTTCAAGGACTTCGAGGCCCAGGTCCGAGCCGTGGGCAAGCTGGTCCACCCGAACCTGGTCCGGGTCCGCGGGTTCTACTGGGGCGTCGACGAGAAGCTCATCATCTACGATTTCGTCCCCAACGGCAGCCTCGCCAATGCACGCTACAGTAAGCAATCCGTCATCATCCATCTCTTTCCCTTTCAAATCACAAAAGTCTCACTTACAAAATTAAATTAATTCATCAAATTAAAAATCATCCATAGCCATTGAAGCAAATTGGTCTTCTCACGTCCTCCGCCGGGAGCTCTGTTTTTTTTCGAGAGGTTTGGTTTTCGAAATATTTTTGCATGGCGGTATAGGAAATGGGAACCCGACCACCGGCCCGACCGCCGGCGCACTTTGGCACGGGGGTCGCGGGGACCCGGTATCGTGCGCCGGCGGGAATCCGGCTGTGGAGTAGGTGTAACTGAACCTTTGTTTTTAATGGGATGGGGAAGTCAACCGCCTGCAAGTCTGGTTGCATTTGTTAGCCCGCGAAGACCGAAAGGGACGCGTGAGCGAGTGCGGCTTACTCTCGCGGTCCGCGAGACACGTCATCGCTTACCTTGGGCGAACGACTATTGCATCCTTTCTAGTTTCTACTGGTAGTAGGAGGAAAATAGATTTTTTATATTGAATATTTTTCATATATTTTTGGGCTTTGCGATTGTAGGGAAGGTGGGCTCGTCCCCTTGCCATCTGCCGTGGGAGGCCCGGCTCAGGATCGCGAAAGGAGTGGCCCGCGGGCTCGCGTACCTGCACGAGAAGAGGCACGTCCACGGGAACCTGAAGCCCAGCAACATCCTGCTGGGCGGCGACATGGAGCCCAAGGTAGGCGATTTCGGGCTCGAGCGCCTCGTCACCGGCGACACGAGCTACAAGGCCGGGGGCTCGGCCAGGAACTTCGGGAGCAAGCGGTCGACCGCCTCCCGCGACAGCTTCCAAGACCTCGGCCCAAGCCTGGGGCCGAGCCCCAGCCCCAGCCCGAGCTCGATCGGCGGGTTCTCGCCCTACCACGCGCCCGAGTCGCTGAGGAGCCTCAAGCCCAGCCCGAAGTGGGACGTGTTCTCGTTCGGGGTCATACTGCTGGAGCTGCTGTCGGGGAAGGTGGTGGTGGTGGACGAGCTGGGCCAGGCCAACGGGGTCGTGGTCGACGACCAGGCCCGGGCAATGAGGATGGCCGACGCGGCGATCCGTGGCGACCTGGAGGGCAAGGAGGACGCCCTGCTGGCTTGCTTCAGATTAGGGCTCAGCTGTGCATCTCCCATGCCCCAAAAGAGACCCTCGATGAAGGAGGCCCTACATGTTCTTGAAAAGATCCCATTTTCCTCAACCTCTTTGCACTATTATGGCCACTTGTAATGAATAGGTTCAACTGTTTGTAGAGAGCGATGTATCTAATCTATGATTGACTGACGAATTTGTCAAATTTGTTTGTGGTTGGATCATGAAATAGAGAGTTAGATAGAGATTTTTCTTTCATTATGGGACCCTAATCAAGTCTTGCTTTTCACCAATCAGGGTCTAATCTAATCCATGCCGATTTTTTTTTTTAATCCTTGGAAACTAGGCTCGAATTTTATATATTGGTTTCGCGACTAGTCGTCATCTCCTTGCTTTATTATTGGTTGGGGATTAAACATTGTATTGGTTGGACGATGGGCATATCTGAAAAATTATAAACTGTACTTGACTGAGCAGAACGACGATTGCATTAGGTGGGTTTGGTTTCGTGCTACAGTATGTATGTGGTTAAATATGTAATTTCTGAGGATTTTTGGTTTGGCCCTAGGGTTCATGCCAATTTCTTTTTTGGCCCCACTTTTGATGCTATACTGTAAAGTGTATTTCATTTAGTCACGACTCTATTACAATAATTCTCTTTTTTCCTTATATATTTCATATTATAAGCCTTTTTGTGGAACCTTCTCTTGCTTGATTATGTTGTTCCTTTCGAATAACTATGGTCAAATAAATAATGAAAATGAAGCAGATTGTGTTTAATTATTCTGGTTGGATGTCGTTAAAACTTCATATGTTTAATGGTTTATCAATTTTACATGTCGACCCTTTGATTTCCTTAGAAACTTATATGGCGTGTACATGTTTTGGCATAAAAGAAAATAAGAATACAGTAGTTCATGGGACTGAATCAAACCTCACACCGTGCTTCTTAGTTTACCTATCGGTGCGAAGATGCTTTGCCATAGTTCTCGACTGCGATTGACCGATGGCTAGCTTCATTTAACAGGTAAAATCAATAGTCTATAATACAATTCCATCTTACATGGATTTTATATTTCAATTTGGTTCGAGTAGATTTCATTTTTAAAATGTATGTTTGTGCGATTTGGTTTGATGTAGATGTCAAATCAAATCATATTGCATCATGCTCGATCCTAGAGGTGAGATTTTGATTGACCGTAATTGGTCAAAGAAAGAGTAAGCTAACAATAAATCAAGTGATTTGTCGAGTTTCTGATCAATTCGAAGCATTTACATATATTAATAGTACATGATGTTAATATTTTAAGGTGAATCGGATGATGACACAACACGGTAGCATTTCATGTAACTTACATGCTGTACAAGGGACATAATTAAACAATTTGTGTATCAACGAATATGGGCATTTTGAACATTTTATTGGCGATCCTTTGCTATTTATAGCTTCAAATCAAACAAAATACTAGCCATTTCGTTACTTTTAAATCAAATGGCGTCGTAATTATCCAACTTCCTTTTATTACCGCAACGACAACTGTTCAGCGTTCACCATTTTAAACCAATCTTCGAAAGGATTAACGTGAAAGTTTCACGAAAAATCCTCCGACGGCATCTTTCGCCTTTGGTGGGGCCCGCCACATTTAAAAAAAAAATTTTGTTTTCACTTTTAGGCTCCGTTCGTTTGGCGAAAAATATTCTCATTTTGGAAAATATTTTCTCGGAAGTCATTTTCCTTGAAAATGTTTTTCCGGTGTTCGGCGACCAATATGAAAAAGTTTCGGAAAATATTTTTTGCCGGCGGTGGCGCGGCGGCGCGTGGCCGGCGGCGGCGGGCTACCGGCGCGGCGGCGCGGCGTCCCGCGACCGGCGGCGGCGGCGGCGACCGCGGCGGCGGCGCGCGCGGCACCGGCGGCCGGGCGGCGGGGGCCGGGCGGCTCGGCGGGCGGAGGGGCGGCCGGCGACCGGCGGCGGAGGGGCGGCTCGGCGACCGTTAGCGTGGCGGCGGGCGGCGCACACGGCCAGGCCGGCGGCGGCGGCCGCCGGCGATCGGCGCGGCGGCGGTGGCTGGCCGACGGAGGCGGTGGTGGCGCGACCTTAGTGAAGAAAAAGAAGAAGAAGCTCCGGAAAATGATTTCCACTTTTGAAGAAGCGGAAGTCATTTTCCATAGACTTAGGCTATTTTGTGAAGGGGGGAAGGAAAATATTTTTCCACGGAAAACGTTTTCCGCCCCCCGAACACCGGAAAACCCGGAAAATATTTTCCGGAAGAATATTTTCCGCCAAACGAACGGAGCCTTAGTGGGGGGTTTTTCTCCCCGCCTTTTTTTTTTTTTTCCTACCCAGCGGCGGAATTAAAAAATCGCGTGGTGGGGCCCACCGGTATGATTTTCGTGGGCCTGTAATACGATGGGCCTCCTCTCAATAACCATCGTGTTCATATAATAACCCCTCGATCCGACGCGACGTTTCGGTCGGACCCTGACGCCTCTTTCTCTCTCTCTCTCACCTCATTTTTTGAATTCCTCGGAGTCCCGCTCCTCCCTCTCTCTCTCTCTAGTCTCTGCGCGAACAAGAGGAAGGAAGAAGACGACGGAAGGGAGGGAGAATCCAGCGATGGCGACGAACATCGGGATGATGGACTCGGCTTACTTCGTCGGGAGATCTGAGATCCTCGCCTGGATCAACTCCACCCTCCACCTCAATCTCTCCAAAGTCGAAGAGGTTCTCTTTTCTTCTTCTTTTTTTTTTGTGTGGGTTTCGAAAACCCTAAGGCTTCGAGCTTGGAGGATGATGCTCATCTTCGTTTTCCCCCCTTCCCTCGCAGGCGTGTTCCGGCGCCGTCCAGTGCCAGCTCATGGACGCGGTCCACCCCGGGATGGTGCCGATGCACAAGGTCAATTTCGACGCCAAGAGCGAGTACGAGATGATCCAGAACTACAAGGTTCTTCAGGACGTCTTCAACAAGCTCAAGATCACTAAGGTCGGTCTGTTCGTGCAAGATGGAATGGGTTATTGCGCTGAATGTGTCGGATTGGTTGTTTTTTTTTTTTTTCCTCTGTTCTTTGGATTTTGATTTGGTGTGGTTGGATGGATGTTGTTTAGCATATGGAGGTGAACAAGCTCGTGAAAGGCAGGCCGCTTGATAATCTGGAATTCATGCAGTGGATGAAGCGGTACTGTGATTCTGTCAATGGAGGAGCTATTCACAGGTAAGTTTGAATAAGCTGTCTAACTGCTAGACTTGGTGCTGGTACGGTTCATAGATATAGATTGGTCTTTTGCTCTTCGTGCTCTGGGTAGTTGCGTTGATTTTGATAGGAGTGGATCACTTCCGTTCCTCCTTTTGATTTTAGTCATTATCTTAGCTATCTATTACCAGGTTAAGTGAGAGTTACTGTGATCATTTTTTAAGTAAGAATTTGGATTCTATTGATGGGGATCTTGTAGGTCGTCTGTAATCAGAAAAGACAGCAAGAGGTCAAAAGGTAAATGGGCCTGAAACAATGTCTTGAACCAAGGGCTCGCGATTGTGCTATTTGATCAAATGTCCAATTCTAATGATCATTTAGCTGATCACTTTAGATCGATAAGATAATTGCTACCGAATTTCCAATTTTCACAATTATAAAGGTTCTTATAACTCTTCAGTATGCTAAACAGTAAATATTACATGTTGGGTTTAATCTATTATGACCATGGTTGTCTTACTTAACAACGAGATTATGTTTCTTTTATAATATGCTTCCGCGGTTTTCTTCACGCATAAAAACTTACATTAATACTGTTCATTTTGTAAGATCTTGTGCTTCTGGAAGTCAACTATACGAGGCATTGTTTGATAAGACTTCTGCAAATGCTAGCTTTTGATGTTGTATTTCTAAATCCCTTGTAGCTATAATGCGCTGGAAAGGAGAGAGGCTTCCAAGGGGGGTAAAGAAGCCACCAAGAAAGGCACACAGTCACAACCTTCCAAGGGTTCGGGACCTGCTCCCAGAGTTCAGTCCAACAATAATGCTCGACGTCATGTCGATCCTTCTGCAAGCTTGACTAATCAGTCAGCCAAGACCTCCAGAGCAGTTCCTTTTGCAAGTTCAGCATATGATGAACAGGTACTTTAAGTGAGAAGTTGTTGAGCAAGTTGTTAAAGTTCTGGCAATGATAACGAAAATATGCTGCAGATAACAGAGTTGAAGCTATCAGTGGATAGTCTTGAGAAGGAGAGAGATTTCTACTTTTCAAAACTCAGAGATATTGAGATCTTGTGCCAGTCTCCTGAAATACAAGACCTTCCTGTACTGTTTCTATCGACCGTTTGTTTCAGGCATACTTGTTTTGTTCATTTCCTTTGTTGTCCAAATGCTGATTATTTATTTACTTCTTACTTTGGCAGATTGTGGGAGCAATACAAAAGATACTTTATGCAGCAGATGATGATGCATCGGTTGTTGCAGAAGCTCAAGCCATGTTGTCGCGGCACCAGAAAGAAGCAGAGTTGCTGAGTCCCATTGTTGAGGTTCCTGAAGAAAGAACAAGCTTAGACAGTCAGAAAAGGAAAAGCATAATTAACCCAGAAGTTGATGCTGCTGCTAGTACTTTGTCCTCTCCGAGGCAAAGGATTTTGGACGCTTCCGATGTGCGTTCTAGTGGGTCATCTCTCATGACTTACTGATTGCCCCCTTTTTGGGATGCATTCCTTGTTCCATAAGCCTGAAAACTGCTTTTGTTGTGCTTTCCTTCAATAGATGTTGAGACAACTCTACCTGTGCAAAAGCCCATATAGTTATAAAGGGTTCTAACGATAGTGGACATGGCATTTCATAGCCTATATTCATTCGGAGTTTTTGTTACTCCTTTGAGCTCCAGTTGGCTAATTTGATCATGCAGTTTTTACAGATATCTACAGTGACTTCACATCCTTCACAAACTCCGTGGTGTTATGTAGTACCACATTGATGATGGCATATTTGAACATGTTTCACAGGAAAGACTGGCGTGTTGGTGTCATGGTCCATGTATAGCTTCTGCGTGGTTTGGTTTGTGATAAGGCAATTCGTGCATAATTCTGAAGTGTTTGATCAGGTTCTGTTCTGGTGGGTGCATCTTTATGAGTTCTCCATTGATGGGTTGATTTGTTATTCCGAATGGATCCTTTCAATTTGCTGGTCGAGAGTTCTGAAACTTGGTTTACTTGATTTGAGCTAATTTTTGTGCATATCATTGGTGGGTGTCAATTAGATTTGTGATTGTCTGAAGACACCCTTCTTCTCCATTGACTGGACCTCCTCCGAATTCACATACATCGTCAGAGTGAGGGGCAACCTTAATTATCTTAGCATCATCTTTACGACTTTGAGTTCTTTAGTTTACACTTATTTTTGGCGGCGACATCTACAGGCATACGAAGTAAGCTGGTGAAGTCTAATTGGGTCTTTTCATTATGATTTTTTTTTGGGGCAGTGAAAGTGAAGCCACCCGATTCTGGCATGTCATTTGCTCCTTTTTAGGTAGAGGGACGAGGACATCTATTAGCATGCGCCCACATGCTTATAAGTTGCTCTCGTTCATCCCCGATTGTTTAGCCACTTGAAATATCATTGAAAAATTCCTTCTTAAGTTTATCTTCTTGGTAACTTGCTAAGGCGCATGCCCCTACCTTTGGAAGACTAGAATTAATCGTCAGTTTCGCGGATGTGACTAATGATGTATTTGAACTTGAGCAATAACGTACTTTTATTCTTATGATCAAATTGGACGATAACAAGCTGTGGTCACCGAAGGCAATTAATCCATCGAGAAGGATTCTTGATCACGCTCAGAGACAAATGGCTCACTATTGATTATTGCTCATAAAATGATCCTTAAATCTGCATTACCGAGCTTCCTCTCAAGACCAAAATATATAGTTAATGGGAGTCAAGACCCACGAGTTATTCAAAGTAGAGCATCGACCTACTTGAATTTTATGCTTATAATTAATTATGATGACACAAGATGTGGGTTTGTGAAGACAATCATCAGCAAGAGGCTCTAAGCTCCTTTACAGACAGGACGCTTTTTTTTCCCCAACCAAATGGTCACAAACATCAAACATGCACCGGTACAACCTTATTCAAAGTAGAGCATCGGGTCTTCGTTTGTTTTCTTTTTATGCCTCTTGGCCTCATGCGAGGCAAAACATATTCTGTTGCGGTTAACTTGATCGCAAAACATTATGACTAAGAGTGCATTTGTATCACAAAAAACTCAAGATTTGGAAAATATTTTTCGAAAATTGATGAGTTATATCGCTTAAAAAAATTAGTTAATTGAAACTATTTTCATTGTCAACATCAATTCATACCTAACAATTTTTGTAGATAATGCAAATATTTTTCATTAATTCATTTTTTTGAGCAATATAACCAATCATTTTTTGGAAAATATTTTTTAAATCTGGAATTTTCCGTAAAACAAACTAAAATATTTCCTTTTGTATGTATTGAGCCACTTTCGCTTTTGGAAACCCGACAAACTAAAATATTTCCTTTTGTATGTTAACCGCATACTTTAGGTGCAGTAAGTTTCAAAATACACTCGGACTCAACTAAGTAGAACTTCATTTCAATCTTGAAATATTCACACTTTTGTGTCCATGTCAGTTTAAATGATAATTAATTCTATATCACTATATACACTTGCCATTTGAACATATCAAATGCAAAATTCAACCAAAAATAACAACAAATACTGAAGAAAAACAAAATCCTTCATCAAAAAGTCACGACCAATCACAGTTGATCGATGAAACTGAACTACCGCAATTCTAATGCAAAAGATTTGTGACTTTTCTGACACTTTTCCAGCCAAAAACATATGTTGCCATGCACTCTGAAGCACCAACGCTGGATGAGGACGTACTTTATGAGTTCGTTCCGCTTGTAAGTATGCACGACCGCATTCCACCTCTCTGTCAATGTATATGAAAATTTTTTGCTCATGTAATTCCACTTCTTGAGTTGCAACCCATGAGAAACTTCAAGACACAGCTCAACGAGGGAAACCTTAATGCCCTCCTTCTTGTCTAGATCAAGAACTCTTCTTCACTCACGAAATCTTCCCTTATATGCTTCTTGGGTATGGAGAGCCTACTTTGGCCCCGGCTCATATATGTGGTAGTGTCTTCTCCACCATGAGCGTCCCAAAGCACGACCCTGGCTCCCCAGTCGATGAGCTCGTGTGACTCACGTGCGAATCACGTGCAACTCATGTGCGAATCAAGTGCAACTCACGTGCAGTTTTAGGTAATTTTGACCCAGTTGCTCATGAGTAGCACGTGCAAGATTTAGGGCATCTATTGATATCTACTCTATATAAAGATAAAAAGAAAAACTATGAAAAGATGAACCATGTTAAGGACCTGTGATGGATATGTGAAATTGGATGAGTCAAACCGTCAAATAGAGTTTTCTTGATCGATTTTCATTTTTCCTTAACTGAGTCAAAGCAAAGCTAAAATTAAAGGAGTTGTACATTAACCATTAATCAATCAACCTAGTCATTAGGAGTGGGAGGTAATCGAAATGTATGGAAAGCATAGGCCAATCTGAGGCCAATCCATTGATTGATTTCGATGAACTTTATTGCTTGATTGTTTTGAATGGTGGCACGTGATTGCATGGATGAAATGTGAACGGATGAAAACCGATACCATGGACGATGGCCAAGCGAGGCAATCCCAGGAGGAGATGGTTCAAGCTCTTGAAGACGGTGGCAAAACATCGATGTCCAATCTGATCTCAACCGCTTGTAATAATAAGATTAGCTTAGGCTTTAATAAAAATTGGTTAGTTGAAAGATTACTAAAAAGTCTAAAAAAGAACCAATTGTAGTCTTTAGCATAGTTTAAGTCACACGTCCAATAATGAATAAGGAAAATGTGGACCATTTATTGGCTTTAAGGCTACTCGGTAGTGAATTAACGACGCACTTTATCCAATATTTGGAATTGATAACTCGATTTTGGATAAGTGAAAAGATAGGGCTCCCTTTGGCATTGAGCATGAATAAGACCTATTTCCTTGCGTAGGATAGGTTTAGACTTCAAGGTTCATTTTGAGCTTCACAACAAGTCCTTGAGGATTTTGAAGATGGCGATGATGTCCAATCCGGTCTCATTTTATACCAATTCATGTCACTCGATCATGTCTCGGGTTTTGAATTTATGTTGTAATAAATACCCGACGAATTGCGGGTTTTTTTTCTTCGTGCTTAGATTAGTTCGCCTTTCAATTTCATTGAGCGTTTACTTTACGATTGGTCTTTTTAATATATTGCTTGTTAATTTTCTATTTTCTTAGGATTAATTTAGAATTCTAAAGGAAAAAACACAAAAATAAGATGCATGGACACTTAGTGAATTAAGACTTTGGCATGAAAATGATAAAAACAAATGCATGATCATGTTAGATAACAACCAAACAAGTTAGCGGTACCAAGAATGCATTAGTGGAAACATTAACGTAACCTAGTCGCCGTACCTAGATATCTTTGGTTTCGTAAGAAATCGAAACGAAATTCTCGCGTTTCGATTGGTTATTCTAGTCGATCCCCGACAAAGGCTAGTGTCGACTCCTAAATTGATAAAAAAAATATTAATAAATGATCTCGTGTCGCGCGAGGTATAGATTAAGGGACAATAAGCGTTCATGATTAATGGACCTTATAAATGAACAAAAGAATGACGCTTCTTAAGCTGTCTTTTGGAATATCCCATTTTGAACGTTTCCATGTCAATTACCTCTAAATCTACACCACGAGGGCCGCCTCGGGGGTAGGTTGCGACAACTGGGAACTAGACTAGTGCCCTTAGGAACTGCCCAGAACCGGTCGGTTCAATTTGGTCCGGGCACTTCTCGATCCAAGTGGATTCTTTTGCTTACACCTAATATGCACCGGTTGGGGATGTAAACCCTTCGTGGGATTTCGACCCCAACAAAAAAAAAAACCTTCACGGGACCAGGGGAGCCCATTCCAACATTCAAGCGAGGTTGTGTACATTTTTTCCCTTTCGACCCGCATTAAAGATTTTACAAATAAATTAGCTCAAAAAAATATTGGGAAAATTCAAAATAAGGCCCGAGTAAACTTTATCTCAAATAAGGACCTGAAGTGCACTTATTTTCTTAAATAATGACTTGAAGTGATTATATCAGTCTCAAGGAAGGGTCTGAACTTTCTAGTTGAAGGGCATTTTTGTCCTTTACTTTTTTTTTTCTTTTTTCCTTTTTTGTTTTTTTCCTTTTCTTTTTTCTTCTTCCCTCCACTGTACTTGAGGGCTATCCTCGCCGGCGTCGGGTTAGGGTTGCCCTGGGCTGGGCTCCCTTGTTAGCCCAAGCTAGGGCGTCCCTCCCCCGACGCCGGTAAGGGCAACCCTCGCCCTCATCGGATCTACTGAGGAACACCCTCGCCTGAGTCCGGCTACCTCCGCTGGCCATTGGAGGTGATGGCCGAGGGAGGGAAGAGGAAAAAAGGAAAAAGAAAAGGAAAAGAAAAAAAAGTAAAAAAATATATACTTAATCTTTTTTGACTAAAATACTCTTGCCGGAATAGTTACATGTTAGCCGGTCGGGCAAAAGTCCTTATTTGAGATGATTTGGCCACTTTAAGCCCTTATTTGAAAAAAATGAAGCCATTTTAGGCCATTATATGGAATTTTCTAAAAAAAAAAATTTTGGGTCAAATTGGCTCAAATTGGGTAAGCTGTTTTTGTTGCTGTTCAGCCCAGAGTCCAGGCCAATTTTGGCCCAGATCTGCTCCACCGTTGGGCCCACGTAAGAACAAAGAAAAAGAAAAAAGAAAAAGAAAAAGAAAAAGAAAATTTCGACTATTCCGTCAAATGAAAAAGAAAATCAAAAAGGAAAAAGAAAACACGAAGAACTGCTCCGTTTCTTCAATTTCACCGGCCTTCATTTCCCCTCCTCTCTCTTTAGGATCTCTCTGTCACTTGAGCATTCCTTCGATTGTTCTTCGGATGCTCTTCCGAATCTGACGAACTGATCTTCCAGGTAAATTCCTGCAACTCCTCTTCAATCGAAGTACTCCATTACTGCTAGATCTCTCTCCCTGTGCGCGCAAACGCCTGCTTATGGATCGGAGCCCACGCTTGTCGTAGTTCATATCCTACTTCTTGCGGTATAGCCATCTCCGAGCAGGGGCATCGAGTGATTCGGCTGTGAAATTGAGGTTGATGTCGTGGACGATCATGTCGTGGATGTTACTGCGCATCCGCGTCATCTCTTTTTTTATTTTATTTATTATGATCGACACTTGAGGATGGGAATCGCAATTTCAGGTGGATGGATATGGAGTGGTCGACGGTGCAGCATCTGGATCTGAGGCACATAGGAAGAGGCCTCAAGCCCTTGCAGCCTCACGCCGCGGCGTTCCATCCCCATCAGGCGATTGTGGCCGCGGCGATTGGGACCCATGTAGTCGGTAAACCTCGATTTCGCGATTTTCTTATCTCTGCTTTGACGGCTTGTTTTGCGTTATGTTGTTGGAAGTGCTGAACAGCGCATTGTGAGTTGTGTTGAAGTAGTTTGGGAGTCATTTAATCGCAGTATTAGTCAGCTTTGTTGCGATTGGTTGTGATCAAACTACTCGGTGTGATTGGTTTTGTGAGTCTTTTGTTTGGTTTTCTGACTTAAAATGGCCGAGTCGGACTTCGCATGTGGTGCAGAGTGATTTAGTTGAGTTCTGGTTATTAGTTTATGCCTTCTTTCCTTTTTTTTTCCTTCCCCTTTAATCTCTTTATTCAATTCTGCCTATTGCCATCATCTAAGAGGGGCACGTCCACCTTTCTTTAGTGTGGTTTAACTTTTGTACACTTAAGAACATGGCTACAAATGTCAGCTTAAAATCGTTTTGCAAGTGTGGTGTACCTGAAAAATCGATGGTATATTTGAAAGATGACCTTTATTGAAAACTGTTAGATCGACTAGGTATATCCATCATTAAATGAGGTAAAGGTTAAAGTTGGAGTTGGAGTTGGACTAGGGTCTGAAGCAGAGGAAATGCAATGAAAAGTTCCATACCTACCCACTACCCTTTAGAATTCGCTTAATGAGAGAGGTAAGTTTTCATGTTATCTTGCTAAATAGAAGACTAGGCAGGAGTTACCAATGAGTTTATGAAGTACTTCACTATCTCAACCAGATCGAGGAAGATGAAGTTTCTCAATTTTTCTCGAAGAGTTTCTTGGGTGGATTTCTTATCTAGTGCAATACAAGTTCAGATGTGTACTAGTGATATCCCCGTGCCTTTGGCACGATGAGAATATAGCGACACTTAAAATAATTTTAGCCAGATTTTCTTTAAGATCAAGAGTTATATCATTAATAATATTTTAATATACATCAAGAGGGAGAAAATGATAGATATATAATGAATTCAAATTCTTATGGTTTCTTTTTTTGACCAACAAATTTTTTTTATGGTTTTTCACGCACACATGTTTAGTAATTTGTGAAAACCTATCATAAAAATGTTTGACTTCTTGTCTCTATTAGCGAGATGAGTGGATATACGTCGAGTATATAATCGTTTTCTTTAATCTTTTGAGCGAAAATTTTCTAATATGTGAGACATTGAAAAAGAAGTTCAAAGCACCACTTTTTTAAGATGATAATATACATATGGGAGTAGATAGCTAATGACCTACTTGTCATAGAATTTTTTTTTTTTAAAACGTTATAAGCTTGGAAGCACGTAGATGACTTGAAAGAGCCCGAATGAACATAAGATTAGCATAAATGATTTTGATACCCATACAATCATCGTGGAACAAATTTTGTTTATTACGTGTCAAGAAATTGACACAAATTAAGTGAGAAATATATACCAACTCTAGTAACGTGAATCCAAATTTGTTATTTTTGTGTTGAAATTGAGTTGTAGTTTCATACATCTTGAACTGCAACAGAATGTGGTTGTACTGTATTTTATCATGCCAATTATTGCCAGGTACATCGAAAATAAGTTTTTTAGACAATATAAAAGAGGTTTCTCTTTCCTAAAAAAGCTTGAAAGTGGGAGTAGTTGGAGTTGAGAGTAGCATTCGCCCTCATGTGTGGTCAAGAAAAAGTCAACTTACCAATTTTAATGTATTAAGATGGGCCACAATCTAGATTGATTACCTATTGCTTCCTATTAACATATAGAATGCTGATAGTTTGTATTTTTCAAATAGGTCGATAGCCTAGCTTTATGACTTTGGTAGTTTGTTTGGTACTAGAAATATGCAAGCTTGGCCATGTCCATTTTAACCATTAAATTAAGTTTTTCCACTAAGTTTGTTTTGATGGTGCTGGCTGAGCATGATCTCAACTTTACCTTCTCCTTTTATTGGTTTGGTTGACTAGAACTGTTTCCTTTTTTTGGAAGTTTGAATTTGGTTGAATTATTCTTTGTTCCATCGGGGCTTAAATGAATAGATCTGTTTTCCTTGGATCTTTATACTTTCTTGTGGATCATGGTCCTAGTACTTTTCACAATTTTTGGGTACAATTTTGTAATGGATACCCAATTTTTGGCAATCCTATTGACCCACCTCCTGTTCTTGCAATTAAAAGATATAACATAAGTGTTATGTTGCCAACTTACTGTGGAACAAAATATTGTGCAATGCTTACTTTAATTCAGCTTCTTTGAGTGATAGTTAAATTGGACAAGTGATGATATCACTTTACGTTAGAAAGTTGAATTCAAAAGCTTAAGCAGATAGGTGGGGGATACTACATGTATAAAGGCCCATTGAAACCCTATAAACAAGCGATGTGGGATATTTTAACACTTTAGATGATTATGGTGTAGTCAATGTCTAATGTTGGCTGTAACTTTGAAACCGAGCTACCGAATGATTCCTAGATTACTTTGTGGATGCCCCTGAATGATTTATTAAAACCATGCTGTAATTCGTAGCAAATAATACCACATTCTTGACAAGTTTTGCACATTGGGCTCATTTAAAGAAATTAGTGAGTACAAGTTACAATGTTTCTGAACTCCCTCGATGCTGGAAGAAGTGGCAAAACTTCCATTGACCAGACAAAGACATCAGTTAACTTTATGAGGCCTGCCATGTCACTAATTTTCTACATGCATTTTTCACTTTTTTGACCAAGAAGTTTTTACACTTCATATTACTTTCCCTTTGCCCAGTACAGGAAAATGTATGTATTTTCTAATATCTTTTCTCTGCATGTTGTTTCCCAGTGGTGAATATGATCTTTAAAATGTTTTGTGTCAACCAGAATTTGATGCACTTACTGGAAGTAAGATCTCTTCAATTGACATCGGTTCTCCCGTCGTTCGGATGCAGTATAGTCCTACTAGTGGGCATGCTGTAGTTGCTATCCTTGAGGTCAGTTTCCTGATGGCTTTCTGCATCTAGGATATTTAAGTTGCTAAATGAAGATGATGATATATTCCTGGGATGTTTTGGCATGGCTGTCTTTACATGGTCTATTTGATGTGTGAGACTGGTGGTATGATAACTTGAGCATATAGGTATAGGATCCTTTCTTTTTTGGTCGATACGTATCATTTTACAATTGTACACGTCACATAAACATATGCTTGGATGCAGATGCACACATTTGTAAAGTTCACATGATAAATAGGAGTGCGTGATTGTAGTAGTAAGGAAATTTTTTCAGTAAATCACCAATTTTCCAGCTGGATGGAAGGGAGTGATACTTTTGTGACCTTATTGAGGGACACAATTTGATGACCAGTGCTTTGACTATCATCTCTAGAATCTAGATTTGCTGTGTTCCTTATTATTGAAAACTAAATCCAATAGAATGATCTAAAAGTGCTCATCTGTTTCAGTTTTCATGAAGGAAACAAGTACTTAGCTATTGACATTTACTATATGCCAAATGTATCTGCTTTACTGATTTTTTTCCTTTCCTTTTTACTCATGGATGAGCATGAGTTACTGAGAGGAGACCCTGCCTCTTCACTTTCAGTGCTTATCGAGTTAGTCACTGTAAATTTCTCGTACTCTTAGTTACCTTCCATCTCTAAGTCATGCTGCAGTCTTATTTGTTTGATTATTTTCCTAAGCACTTCACCTTTAAGTGCTGTTTGTAGGAGATACCTATTTGAAGCAGTTTTCCTTTTTTAGTTTCTGGTTTTTGTTTCATTTGTGCTCCTTTTCCTCTCATTGCTTGTATTCATTCATTTCACAGGACTGCACAATTCGATCTTGTGATTTTGACTCCGAACAGACCTGTGTGTTACATTCACCTGAAAAGAGGATGGAGCAGATATCCTCTGACACAGAAGTCCATCTTGCTTTGACCCCTCTGCAACCTGTTGTGTTTTTTGGTTTTCACCGAAGGATGAGTGTGACAGGTTAGTTGATCTCTTTGTTTTCTTTAGTTATTGATCCATTGTGAAATGTTAATTTTTTCATCTTATGCTTTTCCTCCTATGCAGTTGTTCTGTTCTCTCTCTCTCTCTCTCCTTACACACACACACATGTATACTATATAACGCACACACTTATATAGAGTATATTTTTTCATTAGAAGGTCAAGGAGTCATTGTTGAGGAACCAAGGGATGTAAATCCATATACAAAAGAAACTCAGAGCTAGAAAAGGAACTGAGAGTCTATCGTATTTATTTAAGCATTTTAATACAAACAGAACTCAAGGCTTGGAGAAACTCAGAGATCTTACAATATTCCAAGAGCACAAAGTTATCATCCACCTATCTGTTAATGTCTTACAGGGAACTCTTTCCTCTCAAGAGCCATGGCCTAAATTATGAAGAAAGCTACAAGAAAGTCGAACTGTCTTATGAGAGGGGTCTCTTATACCCTGCCACGATCCAATTCATATTGTAGAAGCATAAAAATCTGACCAGATCTTAGCTATAAAACACTAATGAATGTTTACGCTTCAGTTTGTGAGGGATTATGGAAGGCTTTAAGTCTATTGGTAGGTTTTATCCCTGTCATGATGGTTTGATGGGTATAGGTAGCAAGTAGAGAATAAAGAGGCCGGCGTCGAAAGTTGGAAGAGACAAATATTCTGAAAGATAAGCAAGGATGAGCTGAAGAAATAAAAGAAGGACCTTGTTAGGCATGCATTATGCATATCTCCAAAACAGTAAAGTAATGCATCATGCATTATACTTGAGTGGGCCTCTGCCAATAAGCACACTTACACCTCTGTCCTCTCTCATCTGCACTTTACTTATCAAAAAAAGAAAATGTTCTTAGTCCAATGGTATTAAGAGATGGAAGGAACACAGTTGTGGGCATCAAGCCATGAGCTGATGTTGATAGAAAAAAAGACTAAAAATGAGTATATCTGATTAAACTGATAACTAGGAATCTCTACTACATTTAGAATTACTGCAGAAAAATTTGACATTTTGCAATCACTTAGTTAAATTCAATATGGTTGAAAAGCCTACATTACTTGAGTTGAGATGCTACTACTTAGATTGGATGGTTAGTTCAGTAGATGCTGTCTTGTAGCTCTATTGTGTGGGTATTTTATAATGCTCCGATGTGGAAATTTGTTTCCCAGAACTGGAAAACAAATAGTTTTTGGTTGGTTTTTAATGTGGAAGTTCATTTGCTGTATTCTTATCTGGGATATAATGTGCAAGACAAGTGACGGCAGAAGTCCTTAGCAAGATTTCAGCCGTGCTGCATGGATATATTGTTGCATATGTTTTTGAGCTGTTGTATAAGGATCATCTTGGTCTTTTTGTTCTTTAGTAGAAAGGGTTCGAGGGAACAGTTCTGAAGTTGTGATCCTGGAGAAAGGTGTCACCAATTGGGTTCTAATAGCTTTATTTCAACTATTCTGGAAAAAGATTCCAAAAAAAACAACAAAAGAAAGATAAAGCACAAATGCTATTTAAACAGTCATCTGCTGGGTTCACTTCTGAGCTACTTTCTTATTGAGCTTTATAATCTCCAGATTGTAGCTACAGAACTGTCATTCCATGCACAGAGCCTTAGACTTACTCTTTAATAACATGATTCTGACAGAGCGGATAAATCTTTGTGGTGGCCTTACTGATGAATCTAGATAATAAGGTTGTTTTTTTCTGGCACATGCTTGTAGTTGTTGGAACTGTTGAAGGAGGTAGGGCACCAACAAAAATAAAGACAGATTTGAAGAAACCTATTGTCAATCTTGCTTGCCATCCTCGCCTTCCTGTCCTGGTAACATATTGTTTTCCTTTTTTCTCTTTATTTTCACTTAAAAGATCTTTCTGTCCTTTTCCTTCGCGGGTACTGCTGATGCTAAATGCTTACTGTTTTCTTTTCCAACTTCAGTATGTAGCTTATGCAGATGGATTGATTCGAGCTTACAACATCCATACATATGCTGTCCATTACACATTACAACGTGAGTGCCATTTCACTATGCGTCCTTTTGACAATTTAAAGTGTGGCTTTAACTGGCTTTGCTTTCATTGCAGTTGATAATACTATCAAGCTCCTTGGAGCCGGTGCCTTCGCTTTTCATCCGACTTTAGAATGGGTTTTCGTTGGTGATAGACGGGGTACACTATTGGCATGGGATGTCTCCACCGAAAGACCTATTATGGTTGGAATGTAAGTTCTAACTTGTGGTGCATTGGGGTCATTTGCTATGCGTAGGGGGCTTCATCTTTTCAATGGCACGTTTATATTATCATAAATATGTGAAAAGTAGGAGAGACTGAATTTTAGGGGTTTTTAAGAAAAGTTCAGAGGCTTGAAAACATGAACCAACCTGGTCATACCGGCTCGGAAATTTTGGTTGTGTTTTAGACCAGTTTGGTTATTTGGGCTGGTTCATTGGGTAGTCAACTTGTCTACTTGCTCCTTGGTAGTTGGTGTAGCTTCATTGAAGCATGCTGCTACGGAAATAGGACGTTCTGAGTGCATCTCCTTTCTCCATCGCCATCGCCATTGTCATCATCATAGTCAAAGTTGTCTATTGCATCCAAATTAGAGTTGTTTGTGGTTGGGTTAAGTTCAATTCGTTTGGGGGTATATTATATCTCTTTCCTTAATGACATCTCTTCTTTTTACTTGTTGCCCTTTAATGACATATTTGGGTTCAAATATTTCAACCAAACCCAAAGCACAACTAAAATCGCCTAACCAGTTATTCTAGTTTGTTATTTTGATGAATTAATTGCTAAAGTACTAGAAAGTCAGAATCTCTGTTGATTTCCAATAATGGAGGTTAAGTTTCCCGTGAAACTGTGTAGAACGATACGCCCTGCAAGTTAAACAAAGAAACCATGTTGACAAGGACTATGAGTTAACTTGCATCAACAGCATGTAAATACATTATAGGATTATATTGAGGAGGAGAATACCTAGGATAAATAGGTGGTAGTTGGGGTTTCAAATAATGATCAATGAGCTTGGATTGTCCGTTCTGCCCTCCAAAGAGTGGGTTTTCGGGGGGGGGGGGGGAGGGAAGGGGGTTTTTACTACTACATTTTATAGGGACTAATCAAGTGTAGGAAAGTTTGATTTCATACTCCCTATGCATGGGTACCTGTTTCGTTTGGATAATTAATTTGGAAATTCAATGAAGGAGACGCATCCTATGAGTCCATAGAAAAGTAACCAATGGATGAACCCATGCTGTCTATTTAATTTGTGTTGTAGGAGATCAATTTTTTTGAGCACCTCTAGTCTAAATCAAAACAACATTGTTTTCAATCTTGTCAACCACAAAGGTGAATTACTAATGTTATAATCATCCTTGGTCTACCTTTAACTTCTGATTCTTTTCCATTTATTGATTTTTACATCTTTTTACCTCTGTGGCGCATCATTGAGTGAAGCAGGTCTTGATTCCAGTCAATCGAGTGTAATTTCAGGTCTTTGCATATACTGAAGTTGGCATGTCTGAAGCATGATCACATACTTGGAAGCTAAAGCCTATTGCAATGTGTGTGGTGAACATGCATGATCTACATTATGTACAATGACTCATCTTTCGTTTATAATATCTCAAAACTAGCTAAATCTGCATGTTTCAAGCTTTAGAAGTGGGGAAGCAGTAATGGTCTAGTTACTTTAATATACAATCCGAATATTTAATATGTGAGTTATATTTTTGCTCATAGCTATTGGTTTACAGTACAATTTGTTACCATGAAGTTATTAAAGCTCTATCCATTGATATTTTAAAATTCTGTCGTTAGATATGACATCAATGTAGTTCTTTTATATGGGTAAATTGATGAAGCAGGAGATCCACCTATGTACAGAAGATCAATCACAATAGAAGGGAGACATTTCCTTAAATTATAGCTTTCGGAAAGATTGAAGATTTTGATATTTGGAGCATTTAATAGGGGTAAAAATATCCTGGATAATATGCTAAGTGGAATTTTTTGGAATTTGGATGAGAAAGTCATGGTGCATTTAGTGTCTCTAGGCAATTGCTTTATAATGCTTCACGACTTGTTATTATGATCTGGAATATAGAATATATCATTTTTAAATGGTGGGGTCCTCCAGGCTCAAACTAAAAAAAAGATGCTGGGGTCATCCATGATATTATAACAGATTTTCAGTACATTTTTCTAATTTATTCATGTTTGTGTGGTACATTCTGGATTAGTGGTGACACAAATCTTACTGTGATCATAACATTTTGTTAAGAAATTTATCGCCTCAGTAACAATTTCTGACCATGGATGCGTTATTTCAATTACGTGCAACCAGTACGCAGGTGGGTTCTCAACCAATTATTTCAATTGCTTGGCTTTCAATGCCGCGGCTGCTAGTCACACTTTCAAAGGATGGGAACCTTCAAGTCTGGAAAACACGGGTGAACCTTAATCCAAACAGACCACCCATGCAAGCAAATTTTTTTGAACCTGCAGGTATTCCAGATTTATGGGTTCTTCATGCATTTCACATCACCATAGCGGAATATGCTGATTTTTCCTGTCATATTTTTTTTGTGAAACCTTCATTTGATACTCAAGGAAGTGCAAAGTGTTTTGATCTTTAAAGTAAAAAATTGTTAAGTTCTTTCTGGATGCTGTAGTGGCAACTCTGATTTCTCCTTTATTTGAAATTCTTATTTTAGACCAACTTGTTCAAATGCTGGCAATGATTCCGACTTTACATATGAGATTATGCAACAGAACTTAAATATTGAAACCATGTGATGATTTGGGTTGAAAATTCAGTTTGCATTTGTTGCATATCGTGGGAGTCTGGTGGAAGGTGCTTGTTATGTTGTGGATTGAACTTTATGTTTTGTTACTTGGTAGATAAGAATTGCACCGGCTTTTTTGGCAGCTAGCTCCATAAGTATTCTAGGTATTCTTGTTTTCCCTGCATCATGTCGATTAGCTTTTGATATTGAAATTTGTGAAGAGGCTTTTTCTCGTGGATATAATGGGTTCTTGACCCCCTGTTGTTAAAATATGTTCCATTCTGTGGGTGAAGCTGCTTGGTTTTGGATTGTAAGTCTTCCAGCTGTTAACCCAAATACCAAATTCGCATCGATAAGAAGTCAGCTTGAGTGTGTTTTGCTTCTTTATGTGAAAGGAGTGCTTATCTGAAGCATGATAGGACAATTCAGTATCGATCTATAAATTATGCAGTTGGACGAGGAAAGTATAGCAATAATCTCGACCACATACAGTCTAATTTGTAGGAGTCATAGGTAAAAGCTCCATAATCTACGTTTCATTTTTTACAGTTAACAAATATTGTGCCCAAAATATTATTTTTAGTGTTCCAGAGTCCAGACTGCCAATGTACTTTTAAACAGAATCTGTGTTCCAAAGATGTTTTTTGATGTTCTTCATGAGTTCTTGACTTCTGCCACTTTGTTGCTGTTGTCAACTGTTGTAGTGCTGGAGCTGAAATAACTGATGCTCTATCTTCCCCTCTGACTTGCATCTACTTGCATATGTTGATTCTGATCTACATTGGCTCATGGTCTTCTTGATTTTGGCTGCAGCAATTGAATCAATCGATATCCCTAACATTTTATCTCAACAAGGGGGAGAAACGGTGTATCCGTTACCACGGATTAGAGCATTAGAAGTGCACCCCAAATTGAATTTAGCCACTCTTCTCTTTGCAGTTATGTGCAGCCATCAACTTATTTACTACTGGTGTTTTGTGATTGGACTTGTGAAATGAATCTCGTTTTCTCATTGACAGAGTATGGCTAGCGTTGACAACCAGAAAAGTAGGGCTGCATACACTCGGGAGGGAAGGAAGCAACTCTTTGCAGTTCTCCAAAGTGCTAGGGGGTCTTCAGGTGATATATTATTTAACCTTGACATTTGACCTATTTTCTTGTTATTCCATACATTGAGATTCTCTTGCTTATAATTTTCTTGCAACTGCTGAATACGCTCATCTATGTATAAGTTGATTTATCCTTCTCTCAATTTATTGTTGCATCTTCGGATTATTCTATAGTGTTGATGCTTTACAAGCATTGTTAGTCAATTTAGTTGTCAAGAGCTATATTTATTGACAACGTGCTTCCTTGGTGAATGTTTGGTCTAACTTATAGACAGCCTTTGAATGTTTGAATTCCTTATTTGAGGAAACAAGTGTGATTTTACCAAGAAAAGGAGTTGCTTACTTGGCAATTACCGTGGACCTCTAGGCATTAGATTTAGGTTCAAGTTTCATGACCCTTCTTCCACCCTGTGATATGATTGGACGTATCTTCCATCCGTTTGAATTCCGTCTCCCTTTCTTGTTAAGTTTTATTTCCAATTGTTATACAATTTTCCTCTGTGGGATTAGTGAACTTATCTTCAATCCATGCATTCTGAAATATTTAGTTTTGGATGTTTTAGTAAAATTTTAAACCATTGTCAGCAACTTTCCTGAAATCCTTAAAGTGCATCCTGAAAACACATCTGATCATTTATCATCTTTTTACTGCCATCACGTAAAATCTTCATTGGTAATGGCTAACATCTTTTTTCTACCTTTCAATAGATGAACTAATAATTCGTAATTGATGTGCAGCATCTGTATTGAAAGAGAAACTTTCCTCCTTGGGTTCCTCTGGAATCTTGGCCGAGCATCAACTTCAAGCACAATTGCAAGAGCATCACTTGAAAGGGTGAGTCCAGAAATTCTCACACCATGCACTTTTTATTATACCCTGTTACATGAGCTTATCTGTTCATGGAAATCTCTCATTCTTTTCTGTATCTTTGTTGAATGATTAATTTCTTTTTGATCTTTCTTCCAGTCAAAGTCACCTTACAATTTCAGACATTGCAAGGAAGGCATTTCTTTATAGCGTATGTTACTTCTTGGCTTTAATTTGTTGTGGACTGATGTTGATTATTTCTCTGCTCTGTGTGCTTTTCCACACATATATATCTAATGGTTTTTTACCTCAGCTAACTAACTTAGCAGTGTGTGTCTGAATGTTGGAGTCTTCTCCCTTGGCCTTTGTTTTTCTTCTCCAGTCCTTTTTATAATTAATGAAATTTATAGAAAAAATCGTTCACTACATGAGGAATATATAAGAGCATTAGAGCAAAAAGAAGAGCATGCTAAAAAAATACAAGACTGATTCAAAGTTATTGAATATACAATCTCCAAGTTACACAGTATGATAAAAAGAAGTATCGGCCGAGACATGAGTCCTTTTCTGCTTTCCAGATTTTTGAACCATGGTTGGGCTGTATAACATAGTCTTATGTGGTTGTGTAATCACTCTTTACATGTAAGGGTATGAGTTGTGGAGGTTTTAAATATATAAATCTGCTTGCATCCAAAATACACTATGACATTATATATACCATTCTGTATGTAGGAGTGTTGCTCTACATTCTTGTACTTCATGGATAACTAGCCGCCATGGGGCAATTACCCAAATGAAAGTTCAATGACCTCTAGCTCATAGTTTAGTTGGACATCATGGTTGCAAATTACTGGTTTCTCATGTGAATTGGGGGAAGAATATAATTACTAGTAATTGTATCCTTATTTAGGCTCTGCATGCTCCATAGTTCCAGGATGAACACCTGCCAAATGTATAATGTATTTGCAAACTCAGCCAAACCCTGTGTTGGTTATTACCTTCTCCATTAATGGTGTGTCTCAGGTAAGTGGATTCAAAATGCTCGCTTTTGTCACTGTGCTCACTGCCCCTTCCAAGGGTTAAATTTACCTCAACTTCCAAACTTTGAATAACTCTTCTCACGAGTTTTATCCATTCTTCTGATCTATATAGTTGAGCACCAATGTATCTTTACCTTGTAGTGTAAATCCATCCAGTGCCTGGATTAAGACTTGTGCTTTTTTGAGTCTACTGATGACGAGTATTCCAACTTTCAATGTGAAAAAGGGCACCTTGCTTATTTACTGTCTCTGTTCGGAAATGCTTATTGCGGGTGCGATCATGTACCTGACTAATGAAATTCTTTTCTTCCAGTTATTTGTATGTCATGTTATGTCCTTGAAAATGATGGTAAATGCATGTGGTAGTAATTATTGGCTGCTGCTTGTCGTCTCTGTGTTTCCCATTTCGTTATTTGACCACACTCAGAGTTATAGACATAGATCAAAGATCCTACTCTCTCTAAGATTTGCCAAAGCACAAAATCAACTAAGTTGGTTTATCTGAGTGCTGCTTTTTGTGTTATTGCACTTTGAATCGAGATGTAGTGTCTCCTAGCATGAATGAGACTATGTACTTAATTTGTCTTTGATCAATGGAGCATAATTAAATTAGATTTCAGTTCAGAAGTCAGTTGGCTGCATTGTCTGTGATAAATAGCCAAAAACTTGAACCTTATAAGACCTTTCATTCAGTGTAGCCCATGCAAGTATGTTTTCATCTTTGAGTAGGCCTGGATTGGGATTGTTTGAAAGCCCAAAGAAATCTGCTCTAAATCTGTGTTTACTTTTAACATATTGAAATGCTTATCAGGTCTGGGTTGGTTAAAATGCTTTAAACTTGTATTGACAAAACCCTTGAACATCAATTTTCTTTGAATTTTATTGGGAAATGATGACATTTTTACCTTTGCCAATAAGTGGTTCTAACCGTTTTTATTATTTTTCATGCTGGAAAAGATTTCAGATTTGCGGGTGATATTTGATGTTCATATGAAAAGCATGGTGTTTTAGTTTGTCATATCTAATTGTTGTTCACACTACTTATTGGTATGTTGTTGCAGCATTTCATGGAAGGTCATGCAAAATGTGCTCCTATATCTCGATTACCTCTTATTACCGTCTCCAATGCTAAACATCCTCTGAAAGATATTCCTGTTTGCCAGGTAACTTTTGAGTCTATGATACTTCATCTCTATTTATTCATTCTATCTTTGTCTGAAGCCATTTTCATTTGGCAGCCATTCCATTTGGAGATGAATTTCTTTAATAAAGAGAGTCGAGTCCTTCACTATCCTGTCCGAGCTTTTTATGTAGATGACCTAAACCTCATGGCTTACAATCTTTGTTCTGGGACAGATTCTATCTACAAGAAACTTCAAAAATCGGTAAGAAGCAATGCAAACCCCTGGCATCAGGAATAATCTTTTGAATAGTTGATAATCTTAGGCTAATGTCTCCGAGAAACTTGTCATCTTATGATTGATACAATATGTAATTTTAATTGCAGATCCCTGGGAGTGCAGATTACTATCCAACTCGCATAATCTACAGCATAAAGCAGCATCTTTTTCTCATTGTTTATGAGTACAGAGGTGCCGCAAATGAAATTTTCCTTTACTGGGAAAATACTAATATTCAGGCTGCTAACAGTAAGGGTGGCTCGGTCAAAGGTTTGTCTTCCAATTTCCAAAGAAAATTGACTTTTACTTCATGTACATTGATATAAAAGCCATAGACTGACGTAGAAAATTTATTTCTGAATTTTTCAGGTCTAGATGCTGCATTTGTTGGTCCGAATGAGAATCAATTTGCAGTACTTGACGGCGACAAATCTGGACTCTCTTTATTTGTACTACCAGGGGGAACTTTGCTAGAAGCTGATAATCAGAAGAAGGAAGCTTCTAGTGCTGAGCAAAACCAATCTGCAGATACTAATGTTGGTTCTGTTCAAGGCCCTCTTCCATTCATGTTTGAAACTGAGGTTGATAGAATTTTTACGACTCCTATAGGTACCTGACGAGTGGAATTTGCTTTTTTCATTCATATAGCTTGTTAGATGCTTTTACATGATCTGGATTGATGTGCAGAGTCAACTTTGATGTTTGCTTCGCATGGGAACACCATCGGTTTGGCGAAGCTGGTCCAAGGATCCCGCCTTTCAACTACAAATGGCCATTACATATCGACAAAAGCAGAAGGGAAGAAGTCAATTAATCTGAAAGTAAATGAGATTGTTCTCCAGGTAATGTTAACTAGGACTGTTCTAGGCCTTCTGGACTCTTTATCCCATAATTGATGTTGCAAATGGGTTGGTATCCCTTTGTGTCACTCGAATGAAGTAATGTGCCTTATAAGAAAAGGGCTATCTTCTACCTTTTACTAATTTTTGTCCAGGCAACCTGCAGTCCTGACAAATGATATAAGAAAATGTCCATGAGGATTTCTTTTTTTCTGTGTTACACAAGCATAAAGATACCCCTTGTCGAGCAGAGATCTGAGCAATTTTTGTCATTATTGTTAATTTTATCCTTTGTCCTGCTTTTTTGGGTCTGTTAGAATGTCTGTTATAGCATGGGATCTGTAAACTCTTGGTTCCTGCATGAGTTTGTGATTTTTTCGCTTTTTGGACACATGTAGTTTGCAGTGTGATTTAGGAAACCTTTTTCTTAATACTAGTCTTGAGTGAACTTTACCGAATTTGACCAGCTATAGAATTATTATTAACTTTTCATTGAGGGCTAATATAGGCCTTAGATTGTTCAGGAGCATCTGAGAATTGTGTGCACTTGGAAGACAAATCTGGGCTCTGTAGATAGTGGATCTGGATGAACATTGTTGAATTCCATTTGAGGAATATGTGTTGAGGTGCTGCTGATAGGAATAACACTGCATGTGCACGTATTATAGCATGTATATTTAGTAACTTTCGGTAGGAAATGAGAAAATCTCAATGAGAAAATTGATCATTTCCCCGTCTGTGAACTAATTTCCAAAAATGAAGAGATGTAAAAGCTCTATTGTTTCACTTCAGAATCTGCAAGTGCATTGTCAGAGAAATGTGGTTTGTTTTTCTTTTAGTTTCAATTCCAAATGATGCACTCTAGTTTTGTGGAGGATTCATGTCCTCTCGTCTGACTTCTTTTGCCATCTTGGTGCTGGTTTACACAACACAGCTGTCACCTCTCGGTGTGATCCTATCTGCTGTTATGTGATTAATTGAACTCATCTAAATCATACTGGCTTGATGTCCTGATCGCTACGTTTTGTTGTTTAATGTTGATAATCCCATTGACATGTGCTAGCATCCTTTTTCTTTGTAAATTTATGTATGACATTGAATAAATGCGTTTGCCAATTCCAATGTTGATGTCGGTCCAACTTCGGCAGGTGCATTGGCAGGAAACTCTTAGAGGCTTTGTTGCGGGAATACTTACTACCCATAGGGTTCTTATAGCATCTGCAGATCTTGATGTGCTGGCAACCAGTTCTACCAGATTTGACAAAGGAATGCCTGCAATATCCTAATTTAGAGGCTTTTCAATTAGCTGTTTGCCCTTGGCTACATGTGCAGTAGAGTTCATGCTTTTCATGTTTACTGATTATGAAAATTTTGTTATTGATGTGATGAAAACATTGTACGTTCTTAACTTCGCCATACTTTAGATCTATTTTATGGGTTGGGCCTGCACTTCTCTTTTCCACAGCCAGTTCAGTTAGCGTGCTTGGCTGGGATGGGAAAGCAAGGACCATTCTCTCTATCAGTATGCCTTATGCAGGTGCTGAGTTTGTATTTTTAGCATTTTTTAATATTTCCAGTGTTTTTTAAATTTATATTTCAGCTTTTGATTGTTACTCTGTCATTGTACTTCTGACGCCAGGATGATCTTCCTTTCCAGTTTTGGTAGGTGCTTTGAATGATAGGCTGTTGCTGGCTACTGCTACTGAAATAAATCCTAGACAGAAGAAAGGAGTTGAAATTAGGAGCTGTCTTGTTGGACTTCTTGAACCTCTTCTCATTGGATTTGCCACAATGCAACAACACTTTGAGCAAAAAGTCGACCTTTCTGAGATACTATATCAAATAACGTCAAGGTACTCAACCCTGATGGTACAGTGTCTGGAGTGGAAATGCACATGGTGTTGCTAAATGAATTTTTATGAGGATTCTAATGATGCCTGATGTGTAATTTCTTTTTTGGGTACAAAGGTTTGACAGCTTGCGTATAACTCCACGATCACTCGACATCCTCGCAAGAGGTCCTCCTGTTTGTGGGGATTTAGCTGTATCACTCTCCCAATCAGGTCCACAATTCACACAGGTTCGCTAAAGATGGTGTTCGACTTACTTTATCATAACTAATCATCTTAGGAGCTATCCTGTTTATTTACTGTTTTTGCTGTCTAGGTCTTGAGGGGTATATATGCAATTAAAGCTCTCCGATTTTCTACGGCTCTATCAGTCTTGAAGGATGAGTTTTTGCGTTCCAGAGACTATCCCAAATGCCCTCCAACTTCTCATTTGTTCCATCGTTTTCGACAATTGGGATATGCCTGTATCAAGTGAGTAGACATAAGCACCTAGTTGGGAACTTAATTTCTCTCGAAAATGTTCTGTGCGATTACAAGTCATTCCCAATAATTTGTTTCAATTTCTACTACTCTCTTCAAGTCCACCTGTACTGTTTGTTTCCATTTCTGCTTTTAATTATCTTGATCCGACATCAGCTCCTATATACACCAGATCAATAATTATTAATATAGTAATGTATAAGGGATTTCCTGTTGAAATCTACTGTTTTCTTGGTTTATTCTTTGGTCTACACGCTTAGATTTGTAATTACTATCGGTATGAATAAGGTCGTTACTTGAAATGTGTGAAATGTTTGTTTGGGCTGTGACGACAATTTGGTGTTGGAAGAACTGGCTTGTTGAGCTTGACTGCCAATAGTGTGACAAGTGAGACATCGGATGGCTTTTATTCTGGACTGGTTTTGAGTTGGAGAAGTTTTTGCTAATTCCTCTTTAGTTATATTACATATAGCATGGTGATAAACATATCATACATGTGCATCTTATGATACTTATACTGTGGAACAAATAGATGCATGTAATTCAATTTCTACATGATCTTGCTGCTTCTGTTTAACATTCCGAGGTGATACATTTTATTCTTCAAGTATATCTCTGAGAATATATCCGAAACGCTGTTTGAAGCTTTGATGTATTGTGGAAGCCTTATTTATCAACGAACATTTGCCAAGTCTTTTATTAACTTGAATATTGACTTGGGCAACCGTAGATATTGATTATTGTCAAGCTTATAAGTAGTATTGATTGGATCACATGCTTGAATTCCATGGTATATTTATTTAAGTTGGCGATACTAGCCTCTTCCAAGTATCCGTAATCTTGTCCAATTCATTGCTTTAGCATATGGGTCCCATATATAATATTTGCTGACACTTGACCTCAAGTGTATACTGAATGGTGTATTGAAGAGATGATTTTGTACTACGGGTCCATCTATTTGTGCCTACCTTCAGTTGCTAATAGAGAATTGACATGCAGGTATGGTCAATTTGACTATGCAAAAGAGATTTTTGAAGTCATATCTGACTATGAAAGTATGCTGGATCTCTTTATATGCCACTTGAACCCCAGTGCCATGCGACGTCTTGCTCAGAAATTGGAGGAAGATGGTGGCGATTCAGAAATCAGGCGATATTGTGAACGAATTTTGAGAGTCCGGTCTACAGGATGGACACAAGGAATTTTTGCTAATTTTGCTGCTGAGAGCATGGTCCCTAAAGGACCTGAATGGGGAGGTGGAAACTGGGAAATTAAGACCCCTACTAATCTGAAGGACATACCTCAGTGGGAGCTTGCGGCAGAAGTTATGCCGTATATGAAAACAGATGATGGTGCTATTCCATCTATAATTGCAGATCATATTGGTGTGTATTTGGGTTCAATCAAAGGAAGGGGCAATATTGTGGCAGTGAGGGAAGACAGCTTGGTTAAAGTTCTCACTCCTGCTAGAAGTGACAGTAAGCCAAATGGAATACAAACTTCTTTGGTGAAATCAACGTCTAATAAGTCCAAAGGCGTTGCGGAGGGTGACACCAAGGCTGAATCCTTGATGGGTCTGGAAACCCTTACAAAGCAATATAGTGCTACTGCTGCAGACGAACAAGCCAAAGCTGAAGAAGAATTTAAGAAAACAATGTATGGTGCTGCCGATGAGGGTAGCAGCAGTGATGAGGAAGGTGTGTCCAAAACAAAGAGACTGCAAATAAGAATTAGAGATAAGCCTGTTGCCTCTCCCGTGGACATTAACAAGATCAAAGAGGCGACCAGGCAATTCAAGCTAGGTGAGGGTTTAGTTCCATCCATTAGTAGGACGAAGTCGTTGGATATTGGGCAGAGCTTGTCACAACCTTCTGCTCCTTCAACTGGTGGAATGGTTACTGGCCCTACAGGTTTTAGTCCGGTTTCTGCTCCTGCAGATATTTTTGGTACCGATGTGTTATTACAACCTGCACCTGGGGCACAGCCTGGTCCTGCAGTTACAGGAATGGGGGTCACAGCTGGACCCATTCCTGAGGACTTCTTCCAGAATACCGTATCATCCGTGCAGGTTGCAGCTCAATTGCTTCCTCCTGGGACTTATCTCTCGAAAATGGGTGAAGCTGGTCGAGGTGTTGAAACTGGAAAAGCAACAGCTAGTCAGGTCAATACATCTGTATCTGATATAGGGCTTGCTGATGGTGGTGTTCCCCCTCAAGCCTCTCAACAACCTGCTGTCTCACTTGATTCAATTGGACTTCCTGATGGTGGCATTCCACCACAATCTGCTGCTCACACTGTAGTAGTACCGCAGCCCCAGGCTCAGGTCCCCATCTCAACCCGACCTCTTGATCTTAGCGTTCTTGGGGTATCAGCTTCCATGGATTCTGGAAAACCTGTCCATCCTGCTTCTCCACCAGCATCCGTGCGGCCTGGACAGGTGAACATAAATTATCTACATAAATGTACAGCGAATTGCCCAATTGCCCTATGGATTTCTTCTTTTTGAGTATCGAGAAGCTTTTCCACGTATTTGGGTCCCATGAAGAGTCTAGTTTTGGTGCTTCTAAGTCCTAGACTGGTGTAATGGGCTAGTCTTTGCTTCTCTCCTTTTGCTATAGTATGAAAGTTGTGTTAGACTGCACAAATGCTTATGGCTTGATGATACTGCTGCAGTAGCATGAAACAGGGAGCTAGATTCTGGAACTATATTATATGAATTAAAATACTTTAACACCTTGATTAATTGAGTTTTTAAAATTTCGTGAAGAACTTCATTCTATCTCTCCCTCGTTACGAACAACAAAGTGGGGCTGCACCCTGCTCCATTGTTCATATTGCAATGATGTTGCAATCTTATTGTTGTTAAAGTTTTGCTTGATATATGATTAGATTATCGTACATTGACGTTATGCATTAGTTGACTGGTGGCCGCATTGAATATACCCTCCCCTTCTGCTTCTACAACTGATTGTTGGATTCCTCATATGGGATGCATGTTAATTTTATGTTGTTGGTATATACAGGTTCCACGCGGGGCTGCTGCATCAGTATGTTTTAAAACAGGTCTTGCACACCTTGAGCAGAATCAGCTAGCTGATGCATTATCTTGCTTTGATGAAGCCTTCCTGGCACTCGCGAAGGATCAGTCACGTGGGGCTGATATTAAGGCACAAGGCACGATTTGTGCTCAGTACAAAATTGCAGTTACTCTTCTACAGGTGTGTGGGTAATTTTTATATCAGTTGCAGTAAATTAAGGAAATGCTCATCTTGATTTTTAAGCCAAGTCGGTTCAAGTCTGGAAAAGCTCTTTCTGTTCATTTTGTCAGTGTTGTTGAACATGCGAATGTCGTGACTTATTCTTATAGGTGAACTATATGTTCTCTAGAAATCCATGATTTGGCCATATTATTATGCCTAAACTTGCATCATTACATCTTTTATATTAACACAGCAGCTCTGAACACCTTCAGCACATTTTACAAATGAATATATTGTGGAGACACGGTCTAATCTTATACAGTTTTTGACGTATGACCACCACTTTTAAGAATGCTGGCATTCATTTTAGTTGAGTAGCCATGTCCTGCATATCGGAGAATTTGACTTCTGAAAGACCAACTCATGGAACCTCATCCAAGAACTTTATACAGCCAGAGTAAAATTTCATTATGCCATTCTGCAAGCAGTTCGCAGAATGTGATTACTTTATGAAGTTGCACAATGTTCTTTAATGCCCATTTGTCTATAACATTGTCAGTGCCACCACTGTAATACGAAATTTGTGTTGATATAAATAATGCACAACATATGGGAGGATTTGGTGCTAGAATAAAGTAGTCATAATTAATAAGGAGTCCTTTTAATTGTTTTCCCTATTATTTGAGTTTCTTCAGACTACATCTAGCTCTATTGACTTTGATTCCAGGAAATTGGACGCCTGCAAAAAGTCCAAGGTGCCAGTGCGATTAGTGCTAAAGATGAGATGGCCAGACTATCCCGACATTTGGGTTCTTTACCACTACTTGCAAAACACCGAATAAATTGCATTCGAACCGCCATCAAACGAAACATGGATGTTCAAAACTTTGCTTATGCCAAGCAGATGCTCGATCTCCTCTTGTCGAAAGCACCTCCAAGCAAACAGGACGAGCTAAGGAGCCTCATTGACATGTGTGTTCAGAGGGGTTTGTCCAACAAATCGATCGATCCTTTGGAAGATCCCTCTCAGTTCTGTGCTGCCACTCTCAGTCGTCTGTCAACTATTGGGTACGATGTCTGTGATCTCTGTGGAGCGAAGTTCTCAGCTTTATCAGCTCCTGGATGCATCATATGTGGGATGGGAAGCATCAAAAGATCGGATGCTCTTGCAGGTCCTGGTCCCGTACCTTCACCATTCGGTTAAGTCCTGTAAATGGACGATTTCGGTTTCAGACATACTCATTTATGCACAGATATGAAAGTTTTGAGTTCTCGATCTTCTGGGCTTCATGTTGCTTACTCAGTGATTCAAGGCGCTGCTAGATGAAAAACTTCTGTAGGATGTTGAAGCTGCTTATTGGAGAGTTTGAATAGAGCTTGTGCCCTTTAGGTATATACTATATCTCTGTATTCTTTTGTAGGAGCTTGTTGTATGCTTCAAATTTTTCCCCTCGTTTTTTGTTCATTGTATATGTCGAGCCATTTTTGTCGTGGCCACGCATTCATGTCACTGGTGTGTATATGTAACGTACATATTCTACTAGTTGAAGCGGTCCTCATTGATTATTGTCCATCGATCTGTCTCCATTGGATCTATTCCCAGGAGTACCCTAAAAAAAAAAAAGGAACCTTTCCTCTCCCCAGCCATTTCGGGTCAAGAAGATGTGAAAGCGTCTTTCTCTCTGTAATAAGGGTGCGTTCCGAGGTGTGAAGTGGGAGAGAGGGGATTTCAGAATTGGGGTTTTGAATAAAACGACGGTTTCCTTTTTTTTTCTTTTTCAATGTATATGAAAAAGTAGTAATAAGAATGAGAGGTGTTAAGCTTTTGATCATCCTGGCGTTGAGCCATTTTTCAATGTTCTCTCTAGAAATTGCACTTTTGTTCTTGTCAACTGATCATGCAAAGAGCAACACCAGATATATACTAAGATCAGCATAAAAATTCGCATTATGGAGTGATCCAACAAAACTGCAAAGGAAAATACATTAGGAGCTCTAGTGTGCGAAGGATTATTGGCGGCTGATGTAGGCTGCATTTGGTTCGGCTTTGCAAATGGGTTTTGGGGAAATGCATATGCCTTTGGCCTAAAGCCCTATGGGGAAATATAAATTGTGTTTGGTAAAATGTTCTTTGTATAACTACTTTAACCTAAGTTGTGATTAGAAAATATTTTTTGCAAAGGGCTTTTGGGTTTAATTTTTCTTTTTTTAAAAAAAAAATCAAACCCTACGTCGGCTCCAACGAGCCAGATTGGCGACCCGGCTCTCATAGTGTAAGTTAGTTTCCCATATTGGATGTGTCAGTCTAAAGCGTGTATCATCATGTGGAGTGCCGTACTATATATTATCTCTGAGATAGAAATGCGTTCATCCCGACAAATAGGACCATTCGACCTTATGCTACCCTCAAGTGCCGAATATGGTCTGTCTTCAGCGATTACATAGAATCTGCAATCGACTTTTTGCTAAGAATATTGGTGATAAAATCAATATGATTGAATCATATGCTTCTGTTTTTCGTGATGGTTGAAAGCCTGCAAAGAGTTGCCTTCCTCCATGATGACAAGACGATGGAATAATTTACGATCGTCAAACGCCACCTCGCAAGAGGTTTATTTGCGTCCGCTTTGTAATTTGTTAAACTCCCTCGAGTTCACCTCCGGAGGGTCATGACATTTTGTCCAAGAAGATTGTCGGCAACTGACTGGGTCCGATTAGAGCCGCAAGATCTTTCATCTTAGTTTTCCCGGGTTTCTTCCTACCCGTTTCTCGGGTTTCGGTGGAACTGAACGCGTGACTGCCTCTTGCAGTTCTTGACAACCCGTCTTCTTGCTTGTTCGTTTTTACAACAATGGCAACTTGATCAGAATTCAAGTGCTGGGCGTGGAATGTCAGCCCTTGCAGTTGCAGCGATTCGTTCATCCTAAGGGTCCCTCCAACACCAATAGACTCAGAAGTGGTGGTCGCGACCGTCACCTTCTTCTCGCCATCACGAGCTATGGAAGGAGTCAGACTGAGCTTTCCCTCGGAGACCAATGAAGCCGTGTCCGCCGGGAGATGAAGAGACGAGAAATCGACTTCCATCTTTCCGTTCTCCCACTGAAAGACGATTTGCAAAGTGACACCAGACCCCCCCTATCAGCAATTTGGCTGTTAGGGTTTATGTTGATGGCAAATGTGTCAAAGTTAGAGATTGCCCGTGTGTGAGTTGTGATGGAAACTTGCGTGTGAAGAACCAAGTTCTATATAAGATTAAGTTGTAGGCATAAGCAGATCCATCCTAACCAAAATATATTTAATTTTAGAGTATCGGTTGCGTCGTTCCTCTTTTCATTCAATGTGACCAATTGAAAAACATGTGAAATTGGATTCTTCCTCTTACAATAACATTGTCGACCTCGTTCTAACATTTTAGTTTGGTTGGATGTCCAACCTACGTCCCACTCTCTTTCCAAAGTTAGAAACTGAAGGTGGGAAATTAACTATACGACTCGATACAAAATTTACGGAATAAATTACTGAGGAAATCAAATAACAAACGTAAGGACTGAACTGAAAGAATGCGAAATGTTGCTTCCATTCTCTCACGTTCAGCGATTTTGGCCAAAAGTTGTGTACCTCTAAATTCGAAAGAACGCATTTCTAAATCCAAGGAACAATATATAGTAGGGCACTCCACGTGATGATACATGCTTTGGACCGACACATCCAATATGGGAAACTAACTTACACTATGAGAGCCGGAGAATTCGATCCTTGGGGGAGTTCCAAACTCGCATAAACCAGGTCACTCAGCTACCCGAGCTTCAATTGATCGACTTGAAATTGCAAAATATATGTGCAATCTCGAGTTCGATTTATTTGGAAGCTTCGAATTTCCTTTATCTTTTATTCATCCTTCTTTTAATATCTGTAGTAGTTTCCATGCTGTTGCCGTGTGAAGAGAGAATTCTGCATACGTTACGAGGCCAGAGGAGCTAAGCTCCAAAAAGGAAAGTATAAACAAAGGCTTCAATTGGTCAAAGTCGTTCCAGCCGGTCAAACATAACTTTACTACCTGCTCTCTGCTCTGCGGAAGAACAGATGTACGTCAATCTGCTGTAGATAAGGCACGCCGTCCTTTTTTGGTGGTGGAGGAAAGTCTTGGTAAGGCCAAAAGGAATATATAAGATACATTTAGCTGGTCGAAGAAATATAAATGTAACATGACTACCATTCATTTAGAAAAAACTCAAACTGAATGTCATTTCAAAGTGATCTATTAATTTGCTAATAAGTTTTTTAATGATAGTTTCATCTATTACTTTATTGTGAAAGACTAGATTGATTCGTTCCGCCAAGTGGGATTTGACAATAAATTTGGGTCAATGATTGGAAAACTTTCTTTTCTCGATTTTAATTCACATAGAAATTCAGGAACCAGGATCCTTGTTGAACTGAAGCGACCCGAATTCACACTGGTGTCATATAATTACTTAATTTAGATACCGCATTATTAGGTACCAAATGAGCGTAATGTCCAATGACTCACTTGAAGACGTTACGAACCGATACATGTTCACTCGTTTATTACAAAAATGAAAGTCTTTCAAATATTTTGATAACGACAACATTATAAGAAATAAAGAGGACGAAATGTACATTGTAACTCTCGGCTCTTTGGCATCCCAATTGAGACATATGCTAAGCTCTAATGGTGCAAATATTAATTATCCCCCTTACTCCATAGTCATTTGTGCCTCTAGGTTATCGAAAGGTTGAGATCCTGGGGGAGAAGAAAGAAGAGATAACATGCAACGTGGTCCCTGAATTTTTAATTTGTTCGATGTTGTCCCTAAACTTTAACCTAATGTTTAATGTGATCCCTGAACTTTTAATTTGTTCAATATCGTCTTTGAATTTTTAGTACATGTTCAATGTACTCCATGAATTATATGAAAATGTTCAAAGTAGTCTCTGAACTTAAATTAATAGAATGACTACATTGAACATTTTTATATAATTCATGAGTTATATTGAATATGTTTAAAAGGTTCAGGGACGATATTGAACAAATTAAAAGTTCAGAGACCACACTGTACATTAATAAAAGTTCAGGGATCACATTAAATACATCAAAAATTTAGGGATCACATTACTTATTGGATCAAAGTTCATGAATTGTTTGTCATTTTCTCAAGAAAGAATAACGTGGAAAAGAGAGAAGAAGCGAGAAGAAGAAGAAGAAGAGTACACATTTGAAATTCTTGCGTGTTGAAGCGTTTTCTCATGGCTCGACCAAACATGGAAAGGAGCAGAGCTCGGCGCATAGAAACAGAGAGGCAGCAAACAAGACACAGAACAGAGAGCAAAAGGGCGTGCGTAGAGATCAAAAGTTGAAGGGAGGCGGGGGCGTCGGCGGCGGAGGTATCCTGAGGTACTCGGCGGACGGGACAAAACAGAGAGGAGAAGACATTCAACGATGTCCTTCTCGTGCATTGCGGATCCCATTCTTGATCACTTCTCCTCTTCATCCACGTCCACGCCATCCTCAATCTTCACCAACCCACAGACCGCATCTTCATCTTCTTCTTCTTCTTCATCAATCATCATCTGCAAATTTCGATGGATTCGCCAATGTCAGACACCGCCTACCACCACAATGAGGTTCCATTGTCGTCACCGCCGCTTTCCATGCCGTGCGGTAATCCATCCCTCGCGGCGTTCGCTGCCCAGTGCACCTACCACTTGTCTCCAGACCGGCCACCCCGGCCTTGGTGATGGTCACGACCCTGTTGCCGCAGAATCCTGTAGTTCGTTTAGGTTCAAACCCATTAGTGGTCGCCGTCGCATCTACGCTCGTTTGGAGGATTTGGACTATAATCAATAAGCTAAGTCGAGCAGGGCCTTTTCTGTTAGATCATGTGCGATTTCGCTTTGTATTCGATTTTCTGCACAAGTGTTTCTGTTCTTTAATGTTTCTTGTCCAGATTAAGCTCGTCGCTAACCTTCTCAACTGTTGGCCTGGAGTGGCGCCGTAGCCGAGTCGAGTTTAATCGCTGCCCAGACCAGTCCGAAAAAACCACGGTCTGCTGTCCTCGTGTTTGGTCGTCTCTTGCTGTTTCCCTTCAGCAGTGAAAGAAACGAGGACGAGAGTTATCTGTTTCACTGCTTCCACGGAGGCCGCTCGCCGGTGTTGCTCCTTGTCGACATTTCGTTCCGACCCGTGATCAGTCTCCCACACCGAGTGCAAAGGCCATCTCGTGTCTTTTGAATCCGTTCGATTGGAAACAAGAGTCAAGGGTCCAAGAATTGGATGACAAAACAATGGGAGCAGACACTCCAAGATAGGAAGTTGTGCCTTCCGTGCAAGGAATTATCGATTTCTATGCCAGACGGTGGAGTGGATCACAAACACAATCGGGTCTCTGACGAGCCATTGGATGAGTGCTTCTGACCATGTTTTGTTCTCATTGTTTACTCTCCCCTTTGTTATAAGTACTCTGGATCTCTTAACCCAGTTAGATTATTGCTTTATATATTGGTCAAGGCGAGCGCGATTTCTCGATCCAAGTATCTCAAGGCGCGAGGGTT